TGACTAAAACTCAAATATTAGAGCTAAGCAAAATTTATTTATGGTTTGATGTATTCTGATACTAGCAAATCCAATTGCAAAGCAGCATAAAGAGACCATAAATGAGTGTCTACAGGTACTTCCTAGTTCTCTAGCAACATTACTACTTTTTTATCTGAGGATCTACAGCTAGTCTTCTATAATATCCTTTGGTTGGTTCAAGGAGTAATATATAAGCATAAAACCTATATATTTGTCTTTGCCTTCCCAAAACACATAGTGATATTTTTTGGAGCAGGGCTAATATCAATGCATCACTACAGAAGCATATACACATTTTCCTAATCTATTATCAGGTTTCTTGCTTCATAATGTTACAACAGAGACACTCCAAAAGTTTTTCCTATTGCTGACAGAGCTCCACCAACTTCCTGATTCTCTCCTTAACCAACATGCACAGCACCATCAGCAAACTGGTAATAGTCATTATAGACAAGACTTTGATTTTTCATAGTTTCTTCTCATAGTAGAATTCAAAGCTGACCTTGAAAAATCCCTGAAAACATCAACAAATATGCAAACTTTTTGGAACCCCAGTAGCAGGCATCAGAATTTGAAATCCAAACTTCATGCTACACACAAATGATGCCTCCAATATGCCCATCCACTATAAGACATTCAGCACACCTCTAACAGCTTTCTCAAATATCTGCTGGTTGAAATATGAGCCAAATGCAACCACCACCACCTTCACAATCTTCACATGGCAGAGGGAGGGGGAGGGGTACCACTACTGTGACTTGTGGCAGGGAACAAGGAGGAGGAGATACTGACCATTCGGACCACCCCCTCCCCAATATCAACATGCAATAAAAGCAGCTTAAAGGTAGCCATACTCTCTACAACTACAACATCATCTTTCACTTTACCTTATGTCTCTGCAGATTCATGCAGATCTTTTTTGTGTGTCCTCCTCCCCTCAGCACTTATTTAGTCCCTCCAGCATTCACTACCTACAGCTGATTTCATTCTCATATGGACTCCCTTTTTTAGGAATGCTAACATTTGAAATACAATGTATATCTACTATGAGTTGCTTTTTTTTGGATAATTCTAATGAGAAACCCTGACATCAACAGGAACATTGAGTAGAAACCTCTGCTTACCTAATGAAGACCGCTGTTTCTCTCCACTATGTGCACTGGTACTCAATGTTTAATATTTAATTTTACTAGGTGCTGCTGCCTTTCCATACTATATAATACTCATGTTGCCATTCAAAGTCTAAGCCTCATGTGTGATCAAGACTCAACCAACAAGTAACCAACAGAACACACTTAATTCTAATCAAGTTCAACACACACTTCAAGTTTCAGCAGCAGCTCATCTACTACTGTCATCCATTACTAATCCAATCACAATTTTGCCATGTGTAACTTCCCATCAACAAAGCCCACATTTTCGAGGGACTCTCTGAGTTGTGCTTAGAGCCTCATGTTTGACTCATAGTGATCAGACCTGTCAAGTTCCAAGAGTTTCGAGCTGTTAAACAATAGCTAATGTTCTCATAGTGTTTTCTATTCTATTAGGTACATATACTAAATATACTGAGTTCTGTCCCAAGTACTAAGATCATTTTCTATTCTATTAGCTCTCTCCATGTCATCTGCTCGCCTCTGATCTCTAGAACATTCCCTGTCTACAGTGACTGTACTAGTAAGTGTATAATTGTAGGTTTGTGATTAAAGAAATGCAGCCACTACTATGTGTGAGCACTGAGAACATACTGAAAATTAAGTACCAGACAAACAAACTTACAGTGGCTCAAAAAAGTGTCTCAATGTTTCTGATTTTTCATGTAATTGCTTTATTATGAGCCAGGGTGTGGGAATATGACTATGCTGTAGGGAAGTGTCATAATGCTATACTTCTCAGCCTCATTTATGCTCCCTGTAGCGTGGGAATCTGATGTCATCATGTGCAGATATGGCTATTTGAATTTGGTGACTCAGTGAGACACTTTTTTGACTTTCAGTTTGATCAACACAATCTCTATAATTATGATACTTTATGTGACCTCCTGTTGCTCTAATCACTTCTGCCACTCCTCTAGCCATGCTATCTATCAATTTTGAATATTTCTTCTTAGTACTCCTTTCTCACTCTGCTGCAACTCTGTCCTACAGCTGAAATAGCCCCTATGATGAATTTTGATAGGCTGCAAGCAATTTCTTAGATATTTTTCAGTAATATTCAATAGGGCTAATGTATGGGGACTGTGCTAGACATGATAGAACATTGATATTATGGTCTTTGAGCTGCTAGTGACTAACTTGGACATATACTTAGGATCATTATTTTATTGCAACATGGTATCTTCCTCATTAATATATGATTTCTGTATGCTTCTTAGCAGACTCTCATCTAAAATAGAGATGTACCACTCTGTATTAGTTCTTCACTTCACTTCACACAGAGAATATACACTCTATTACATCTCATATAGCTCTATACCTCTATGTTTGTTACTCCACACTTGAGAGTTTACACAATTTTTTTTCTTTTAGTGGTTCACCTGTCATTTTATGGATGTATTCCCAGCCATCTGACTTCATTATATTTATCTTGGTCTTATCTCATAATATAATTCTCTTCCAGTCCTCTTTCAGTCCAGTACTGGTCTTTAAAGCTGAAGTTTACTTCCTATTTCTATAGGCTAGGGATAGGAGAATCCTCTTCTGATTGATTGTAACTTTAATATTTGTTGCCTTGCAAGTATTGTTGATGGTTTGAGTGGAAGGAGTGCTGGAGATGATGAATTGATGAATTAGGTGGCCTGAGTAGTATTAGCAGCCTGCCCAGTTAGAATATGGTAAATGTGAGATCTTCATTCATGTCAAGTAAGATTTCAAGTCAGTCACTAGCAGCTCAAAGACCATAATATCAATGTTCTATCATGTCTAGCACAGTCCCCATACATTAGCCCTATTGAATATTACTGAAAAATATCTAAGAAATTGCTTGCAGCCTATCAAAATTCATCATAGGGGCTATTTCAGCTGTAGGACAGAGTTGCAGCAGAGTGAGAAAGGAGTACTAAGAAGAAATATTCAAAATTGATAGATAGCATGGCTAGAGGAGTGGCAGAAGTGATTAGAGCAACAGGAGGTCACATAAAGTATCATAATTATAGAGATTATGTTGATCAAACTGAAAGTCAAAAAGTGTCTCACTGAGTCACCAAATTCAAATAGCCATATCTGCACATGATGACATCAGATTCCCACGCTACAGGGAGCATAAATGAGGCTGAGAAGTATAGCATTATGACACTTCCCTACAGCATAGTCATATTCCCACACCCTGGCTCATAATAAAGCAATTACATGAAAAATCAGAAACATTGAGACACTTTTTTGAGCCACTGTAGTCAATACACAAGCCTTATTTCTGAATTATGCAGCAATTCCTAGTTCTAATGCTACCCACCAGATAAATGATGCTCTCAAACTGATCTACTCACACTGCAGCCCTTTTTAGCAGTACAGCACTGGTTGAGTGTGGCGGACCAGCCATGGGCTCCAGCCATCAGAAATCCTGCTACAGTATTGAAAGTCAGAAGGGTGTCTGCTGACTAAGCAAGTACCCCAGGTAAGGGGGTTTCTCATTAGAATTATCCCTTTTTTTACTTTATGTATGACTTTCCCCTATGAACATACACTTTGCAAAATCACAAGTGTTCGAATCTCCGACTTCGGCGCTGAGCATGTTTTGAGCGAGTTGAAACCAACTTTAGCCAAGAGTTCAAAGCATGTTACAGCTGTTTTCAAAAATATGCGGAATCACAAAAGTTGAAACTTGCGCATCGGAAATGCCCGGCCAGGACCCCGCAAGCACTTGAGGCACTACAGCGTGCTGTCAGCGCTTCAGCGCTCACCATCATAGTCAGTATGCCACCACGCACTGTTTCAGCAGACTTAAAAGCTCAGATTCCTATTCTACGTCGACATGGGCATTCTGTCAAGCATATATGCCATCTGCTTGGGGTTAAGAAGACTCTCGTATACAAAGTCTTACAACTTTTTCCCTTAGTTTCACAGTACCGCTGCAGCAATCAAGGCCGGTGTCGCAGCCTCACTGTCAACGACATCGCATTCATTACAACCATCCTTCGTCATCGTCCTACCATCTATCTTGATGAGCTGCAACAGGAACTGTGCTCTCGCCGTGGTGTGTTTGTGTCTATACCAATGCTTTTTCGCACATTTCGTCGGCTGCATGTCAATCGCAAGTGTATTTCGGCATATGCTCTTGAAAGGAACGAGGAACTACGTGCTATGTTCATGAATAGTATTGCTGAGATAGCGCCTGACCCAGAAATGTTGATGTTCAGAGATGAGGCTGCAAAAGATGAAAGAACAATCATTCGACGCCATGGGAGATCAAAAATTGGAACAAGGTACGTCAAACTTTGCTTCTATTGGTATGTAATGACCATTTTGTCCAAGGTGTGTCCAAAGGAAATGTTTCGTGCAAGGCAAACGCTACTCGATCCTGCCAATCCTGACTCTTGATGGGATCATTGCCTATGACATTATCGAAGGACCAGTCACGAGTGAGCGCTTCGTCTGATTCCTGCGTGAACATGTGGTAAGTCTCATGAACGTGATATAGATTTGAAGTTGACTGATTGTTCACTATAGCTGCCTTTGACTAATCCATACCCTGGGCCACGCAGTGTACTAGTCTTAGACAATTGTCGCATTCACCATAGTGATGAAGTTCGTCGTCTCGTCGAGGAAGAAGCCTTGTGCAAGCTTGTATTTTTGCCTCCATACTCACCTGACTATAACCCTATTGAACAAGCCTTTTCGTCTATCAAGGCTTATCTACGACGCCATTTCGAGGACAAGTCTTTGACAAGCATAGTACGAGCATGCCAAGGCATCACACCTGACAAGGCAGAAGGATATTTCCGTGCTTCAGGATACATTGCATAGCTGTTCCACTGTGTTGTAGTTCTAAATAAAAGGATCTTCTGCATCTTCGCGCTCACCCTCAGACTCAGAAGTGTACCCTGGAGGGAAGATAACCCAACTCTGCCTGTTTTCGCAGAAGTAATAAAGACCATAGTCAAGTTCTGGTTGCTTGTCTGACTGCTCATCAGGTTGTGTGACGATGACGAGTTGAGATATAACTACACACCAGGTGCACGTTCATCACGTTTCATACAACTTCCACTGATGTATGCTCGTCCCCCATCATGGTATCTCCTCTCATACTGGAATTTCTTCAATTCAGGAACATTTGATTCAGAGGTATCACTGCGTTGCCGTTTTGCTGTATTCTTTGCAAGAGGGCCATTCCACCACGTAATACTGCCTTTTTTCAGCCGAATAATATCACCTGCACTGAGACCAACTCGAACGAGATCCTGGTCAGCCATTTCTGCAAGTATATCTGGCCCTGCACCAATACCACATAGCGAAGATTTGTATGTTGTAGCAAATACAACACCAAGGTGGTCCTCAGCATGTTTCAAAAAACGAGTGAGCATCGAAGGTGTCAGTGCAGGAGGTGATATGATTCCAGGTACAGGGAGTGAGGTTGGAGCTCGAGCTGGGTGTGGTGTCAAAGGGGTAGTTGTCTCACGAGTGAGGTCTTGCACAGTTCACAAAAGGAGCATAGATGTGAGTGAATTGATGTCAGTTGTGTTGATTGATGTGGATGCAGGTGTCGAAGTGGCAAGAGTGGATCGGCGCATCGGATGCAAAGCAGGCTCGCGTTTTGCAGGGTCGAAAGATGGGATATTGGGTGGCACAGTGGTGGTAGCTTCCCCATCATACTTGATAGTTCATACTTGATAAGCATACAATGCAAAGATGTAGACACATACCATTGCACGAGCACAGTCCTTTATCATTGCTGGTGTACATGGGATCTCCATCCCACTTTGGTGGACATATGTGACAGAGTTATCATAACTGTTACCCCATTTCTTGATGATAAGCCTGCGATAACGAGCAATTTCACGATCAAGTTCAGTAGTACAGTCTACAGCTACAATCTCATCATCTGATGCTCTGCTATCTTGGCTTGCCATATCACCTGCAGTCTGTTCTTGTCAGCCACAACAATTACACAACCAATTCTCGTCACCACATACCTCATTTTGAGCAGTAGAGACAGGGAGTTTCTCAACATTTTTCATGTCAACAAAGACTTTCACCTTTTGAGGCTCTTCAGAGATGAGCTTCTTTGCCATCTCCGCATAATCTTCTTTGTTGTCAACATCCATGGCTTCGATGCGGCTATAAAAAACCACTGAGATAAGATCAAGCCTCATGGATGACACGAAGATCACTTACCCACGAGAATTGCCAACAAGGTACTTGAAACCATACTTTTTCCTCTCAGTAACCCTGTATTGTGACTTGTCATGTTTTGCGAGGATGATAGTCAGAAATTCGAGGTAGTTGGGCTCAGAGATTTGAAATACAAGTTCCTTGACTTTTGTAGACTTGACTTCCTTGGACTTTGCTTTGCCATTAGTTTCAGTAGTAGTCTTTGTTTATGTATCAAGATGGACAATGAATGTAGCCTTAAATTGAGGTATCTCAACAGAGGGTGATGGCGACGACATTGTCTTTCAGCGAAGCACTCTGAATTGGTGCTGGATTGGTCACTCAAGTGCTTATGGGGTCCTGGCCGGGCATTTCCGACGCACGAGTTTCAACTTTTGCGATTCCGCATATTTTTGAAAATAGCTGTAAGCGAGTTTTCGAAACCTACCAAAACCTATTTTGAGTACCACTATTTTGTTTGAGTGTAAGTATAGGCTAAGCAATACATTGCATTACTTAGCAATACGTAGTGCGATAATGTCATTAATAATGCGGAATGGCACAACTAGCTATAGAACTGCCGTAGCTTTACGACTCGAACACGATGTTAGCTCCGACCTAGATGGACAGTCATAATCAATACGCAGACCAGAGAATACGATGAAGGGCGTACCTTGTGAGTTGGGCCAGTGGGGCTGATTTCGTTCAAGCGTTGAGTGTCCAGGGCAAGACCGAAGGAAGCCTTAACACCAGGACGGAGGGCCTGTGTGTAGCCTGCCAATGTCGTCAGAGCACGCTCAATCATTAGACCTGCAGTGGCTTACCAAGGGCGAGAACACCGGAGTTGTTGATCTTTGCCTTGACGAAAGCAGCCGAATCAAGGTACCTATACGTAATAGGTTCAGCGAATTTCCAACCAACCATGCTAACACCATGTGGTCCTAAACTTACGCCTTAGTGCCCACCTCAAGAGCAACGCCTGAAGTCGTTGCCTTGGTGTCGTAAACAGCCTTAGCACCAGCCTCGACATCAGCGCTAACACGGTGGTAGTAGCTCGCAGTGAAAGTTTTGAGGTTGTTGAGACCGTGAACAGTCACAGCGTATTCGGGAGCGTTATAACCGATGGCAGCGGCATACCGAGTAATCTTACCCTCGGTGACGTTGTACGCAGTCTCAGCGCCAAACAAGAAGCCGTCGCGACCGAAGACAGTGTCAGTGGTGAAGGTGGGGCCCTAGCATTTCCTTGACATTAGACGGAGAACAACGGAATTCAACGTCGCCGAACCTTGAACACGTCGAATGCGCCACGGGTGTGGACGCCAGACTGTTTGTAGATCACGTTAAGCAAGGCTGATTTTTGGCCCTTGTCGGGCGTCAATGACGTAGCGATATCAAGCTTGAGGCCTTTGGCAAGGTAGTTTTCGAGCTCGAGCTGAGATTTGAGAGCGTTAGAAGTGGTCCACGTCTCGGTGAAAACCAGGCCATTCTTCTTGTCGGTGTACTTGGCCTCGATGTCCCCGGCAATGGCGCCAGATTTCGAGTCCCTGTTCCCACCAACTTTGAACGCGACATTGGATGGCGTTTTGGTCTTGACCTCCAGAGATGTGCCATGGAAAGGATAGTCCTTCCCCAACAAGTCGTTAGAGGACTTTCCGAGGTCCTGTATTCAAATACTTTAAGTTCCAAGATACCGCGGGCAGTCGCGACATGCATCATACCTTCCATGAGGGGGGAACTGGTTGAGGGAGAGACATGATGTAGACGTGAACTGAAGGAAAAGGGAGAAGGCGGAACGAACTGGCTTTTCTGGGCGGAACTAGCCGTGAGAAGTCCAGCGGCTTCTGAATCGGCTGTAAGCCGAAGTTGCAGCTATAAGCCTATAACCTAGTAATATTTAGCGTTCGTCATGTCCTCTGACTCTGGAGAGGGAACGCAAGTTGCATCAAGTCAACCTTCTGAATCTCGCAGACCCGTCTACAGGGTTGAATCAACTGGTAACTTTTGGCATGATGCGCGGGAAGCTTTCAAGGTGCGCCTTCGCCAGGTATTAACCTTTATGCAACTGAACACTTTGCGAAGCTAGCGCATATCAATAGCTGATGATTTTCAACGTCTTGGAGAGATGCCATGTGCTCGGAACAGTCTTATGAGTGGTATCGCCAGTGGTGTTGGAGTAGGAGTCATCCGTATAATGAGTGCTGGTGCGTTGTCCACTAGTTTATACTGACTGTTATCGACGTCATTCGTCCAGGGTTTCTCGTCGGATCACACTGGGCAGTAGGGACTTTTATGGTTGTTTCCTTGGGCACGTGGTATGTTCTCTGAGTAAATTCGCACCAAATATTCCCACTGATTGACTTGCAAAGGACTGTCTGCCAGAGAAATATTGAAGCAGAGCGACGTAAGCTCCAAAAGGTTGTTGAAGAGATGCCAAATCGCTTCATCAAGCAGAAAGACAAAACGATAGACGAAAGCGGTGGAAGCTGAGAAGCATAATAAAGGGAAGCACTAACCCTTTTGGAACAGAATTCCTCGACACAGGACCCTAGCTAATTCTACCAATGATCTCTCTCCAGTTTTCCACCAACTCTGGATCGTCCTTAAATATCTGATTGGTGGTGGGTTCTGATTGAAATCAACGATGCAACGTTACCTTGTACGACTGCCCGAATTGGACGAACCCCCCTTGAAGGACGTACACAGTGTGATTTGTATCATGCAAAGCGTTGCGAGTTTCTTCGTAAATCTGTTCTGTTCTCAATTTTTATGACGCGATCGCTTGGAGGAATGAACGTACTCTGGCTGCCTTTGGCCCACTGTCCAAGAGGCGATGAATAAGTATTGGGAAGATCAGGTGGACTATCCATACCGCTCCTGACTCAATGCACAATGGAAGATCGTAATTGGTACATCCTTCGTCTGCTCGATAAGGTCATCGAGCTCCAACAAGAATCTTTGAGATGGGTGATTCCGGGAGCCTTTGATATTTCCTCCCTTCCAATCATCGTCTCTAACGTCTACGATAAGGTAATCTATGTTACTGTCAGGTCAACGATGACCCTGATCTTGTAGTTGGAACCAGCGACACCTTTGTCTGGGACTTTGCCGCTCTTGATAAGCTTAACAAGCTCCTGCAAAGATCAATTTCATTCGTCAGAAGTCACCCCCGGATAGTGGCAAGAACCCAGTGCCCTTACACTTCCTATTATACCTTGCACCATCGTACACCGGGAATCTGGCGTAAGAGTAAGGAATAAAATTGGAAGTTGGATAAGGCTGATCTTGTCTTGAAGCCAAGTCTAAACAATGCAAAAACAATGTAAGCCAAACATATTATACGCACGTGTGTACGCCTATGCCACTTGACAGGTAAGTGTGGGTATTGATACGCTAAAGACATCATTGGTTCTCCTACTACTACAAGTCTGTATCAATCTTGATCACCATCTATGAGGGTATATGATGAAGGTAGCAAAAATAGATACTAACAGTACAACAGATTTTAATAGTTTTTCTTCATACCCAAGATGTCCAATACATACTGCTTAAATACACAACAGGATGAAGATCATGCAGCTTACGACTTGCGTTTTGCCTTCCCCTTCTTCTTGTTCATGCTAGTGGACCCCGTGAGACTACGGGTAGGAGATGGAGTACCAGGTGTTTGTCCCTTCGCCACGATACGCTGTTCATGATATTTTTCGTCATAAAATCGGGTAGACTTCCGGCGCTCAATCTTCCTCGCATCCCTCCTTGAACCTATGGGACTCGTGGACCGCCTCCGCCTTCTGCCGCTTCTCTAGTGCACCACCATCATGGTCCACGAGTGTACTTCCATCGTCTGGCCGTCCATCGTCATGTACATTATCGTCCAGCTTAAAAGAGTGCGATGCTTCAGACGTCCCTTGTGGCCCCCAAGGATGCGCAAAACCCAGGGGGTACACACCCCACGGGCCTGTCGATGGCGGAGGCATTCGAGGTGAGCCATATGTCGACATTGTGGCGGACAAAGCATATGATAGTTGGTGCATCGCCTGGTAGAGAAGGAGTTGTGGTGGTTGAGTGGGATCGATGGAGGGGGTGGCAAAAGGGTAAACTTGAGTTTGCGGTGATGATTGAGTGGGAGCGATGGAGGGGGTGGCAAAAGGGTAAACTTGAGTCCGCGGTGATGGTTGAGTGGGATCAATGGAGGGGATGGAGAAAGGGTAGACTTGAGTCTGCGGTGATGGTTGGGTGGGATCAATGGAGGGGGTGGCAAAGGGGTAGACTTGAGTCTGCGGCGTACGAGACGCGAAACGGGTGCTTGCTGTAGTCGAAGGTGTATCAGGTACTGCGAAGTAGACCGTTGGTAAGCAATTGTGCAGACTATGAAGGTAGCTACATTACCTAGAGTGCTTTCAGATGATGTATAACGGTGTGAAGATGGGGAAGATCCTCGTAGAGAAAATGATGGTGAAGAGTTTCGCTTTCGCTTTCCAGCTTGCGGGGGTCGCTCGAGGAGCGCAGCAAACTCCTCATCAGAATCAGCGAACTCTAAGACTTTTTGCTCACCTTCCGCAGAATCCTGTTCAGACTCATTGCGGGGGATGTGATACACAGCACTAGCCTCGTCGTGCTGCCATATGCTATTAAGTTCATCTTCAGACTCGTCTTCTATGGTTTCTGGATCAACGGTCTCCGGCTGCTCTTCAGCTTCCTCCGACTCGTGTAAAGCCTCGCGTAGCGCAGCTAGTTCTTCCGCAGACAAGTCATCGTCACCGTCCTCATCCCCCAACAGCTCTCTCCGTCTCTTTTCAACCTCCAAAAAGTCATTGAGATCGTCAGCATCTGTTGTTGCTGAAGAGAGGTGGCACGGCACGAAGCAACTCAGAAGTTGATGCCATAGTACCGTCGGGCGCGCGCCGAACGGGTAGAGTGTCCAATTCATCGACGTCATCATCCTGGTCCTGCTCGCCGGGCTCCTGCTCCTGCTCTTGCTCTTGATCTGGGTCATCTTGACTATCATCGGAAGCAAAATGACCAAAATCATAGTCCTTTCCGTTCTTTAGTACTCCTCTGTCACTGATTATGGTGCCGCTGTAGAGGTCGACAATATCATCTTCGTCGAGACGTTTGTTGTAGCGTTCGGCGAGCTGAGCCCAAACATTAAGAACACGATGAGTAGATTTGGATAAACGAGGTCGTTTTGTAGGTCGGCTATCTGGAGGGGCAACAGAAGGGGAGGCATGAGGTGCCATGACAAGCTTAAGGCCTTTGGGTTATCTTGTTTACCAAGTCCAACAAACAGTCGTGACCTGATTGACACTCCGCTAATAGTAATTATGGTGGTGGCTTTGTTGAATTGTTCCACATCGAATTATACATAGATCAAGCACTATTATCATTCATGGAAGATGGCAAGGCTACATGTTACCGTGACATTCCAACGTCAACACGACCCGACAGATTCAGACTTGACAGTACTTGCATGTGGCTCCTCATCAGCGACTACACAGACTCTGCTGGCATCCGATTGCCTGACCAGTATGCTCTATTATTTTATTGATCTGGTGCTGTATTTGATCCACAGACAAAGTAACTTTAATGGAACTTAATATCCCGCAAAACTGGCTGAAGACGATCATATCTGTCAGATCCCGTGAATGGCTTGCCACTTTTGCGCCTCGATGATAATGTTTCAATGTCTTTATAGCCTATTCTAAGCTCTCAAAACAACCTCACTGCTCCCAACCCAGCCAGTATGTCGACCACGCAGAAGGGCCTGGAATGCCTTATGGTATGGTATTATCTGTCGTTCGTTTATGGGAACAATGCAGTACTGTGTGTAGAGCGTTTACTCGCGCGAATGATTAAAGTCACCTGAGTCTTCAACATAGGTACTAGCGAGTGGCAAAATTGGGTTCTTGGAGAGGAAGAAGTCATCATCCACATCAAAGCTTCGTGAGTACTGTTGTAACATAACTTCAATGCCAAAGCATGTCTTTACCGTCGATATTAAAGTTATGACGTGGGCATCAATACCTTTGACACCGCAGACGTGAGATGAGACCCCTCTTCGCCTCAGGCATTTACTAATCTATAGGATTAGACATATTCCAATGGACTTTCTGATGTCATACTCGGAAATGCGATCAAAAAGCTCAGCTTACCTCGGGACGAGATCGTAGTCACGACAAAGGTCAGATCTCTGACGTATTGGTGGTTCGCAGGTCTTGAAAGATAATCTTTCAGGTCTATAGAGTCGTCGGACGTACCCTGAGTGAAAAGCTCTCCAAACCAGGTGTACGTCTTGATGAATTAGGCTACGTTAATCAAAGGGGTTTGAGTCGCAAGGTGAGGATGTTGGCTCCTGTGGATTTATTGCACTATCTGATCCGACACAAATAGCATATTTTCGCATCCATCAAGGGCGTTTGCAACTTGATTATGTTGATGCTGTCGTGTTTGTCCCGACCCGGTGTTCGATTAAAGATCGTTCTGACAACCATTCTGTCATGTTTCTGATCTTGATGCAGCTCCAGTCCAGGTAATGCAAAGTGACACCATATCTTTGGCGTGAGCGAGTCAAAATCTAACTGCATGGATCTGTTTAGACTACGCGATCACAAACCATCTACACTTTTCATTTCTATGCAGAACCACCACAATTTGGTTTATCGCGAAGAGGAACGAGAGATATTTTTGGCCTAGGCTACTGCGTTGAATGCATACAATATCACTGTAACGCAATGCATGCGCTGTCCCCTTTTGACTGACAATGCTGTCTTTTCTTCGTTGGATCTACATCAAACCGAGTTGATATGGGCTCTGCTGCCTTGGCTACATGGTGAAGACAGCGAACGGCTTTTGCATTTCAGGATTCTACCATCAGCTGCCGAAGTCATCTTGAATCTCTTTAACCCAGACGAGACACGTCAGCAGCAGGAATGATCTACAATTGCAATGCTGTGGAGTTCAGATGTATTGCGTGATTCTAAATTCGTGTGCTGACAGTAACTACAATGTTAGGGGAGTTCAAAGTTCAGACGCCCAACACCGCCCAACCTCGTGACCCCACAAAGCTCTCTCTATTCCCTAGAGTCGGGGGTCGATTGTTTCACACTATGCAAAGACGTCCTGGAGCCAAGTCTCATAGTCATACTCAGGTTCTCCCACCTCATTGTTTGTCGACGGTATCACCTGACTCAAGTAGTCGACTGCACTTAAGGGTAACTGAGCCAGGCGCAAATCGAGTTCAGTCACAAAAGGCTGCAGAAAGGAATCTCATCAGCGCACAAGTCACCAAATGAAAGTCACGCACTTTGCCACCCGCGATTCCACGGAATGATTCGCGCAGTTGCTCTGGTGACGTTTGATCCTCCGTTATGTCGACCTTTTACAAGTCATCTGTAAGAATGCCATTGATATCGAAGGAGAATCAGCTCACCAAGAGATTGATGAAGGCTTCAAAAGTGACCGCGCCATAGTCTTGTAACAGCTGGTCGTAAATATAAGTCATGTCTTCATCCTAATCGTTCAATGGCTTGATGAGCAGCGTAGCTACGCAGTGTATGATGCACTCACTGAGTACACAAGACCCTGGCTAGCGAGAGCTGCGCTCGTCTCTGTCAAGCTCAACGTGTTGGTCTCATCGCGGTCGAAATACCGGAATGTGCTCTCAAATTGCTCCAGTTGTGCAGGTGTTAGGTTAGTCATGTTTCGGGAGACAATCTGCCCTGCATTTAGTCGAGTAGGATGTGCTGAAAGAGATGCTGACCTGATTGTCAATAAAAGATATCTTCTTCGTAAGGCTTTGCGCCACAAGTCCTAGTTCGAACTCAAGGTCTTGACATGTGAACACTGTGTAGTCGTTCTCTTCTACGTTTGCTTCGACGCAGTCTTGCTCTGCCTTTGCCACGCGCGTCAGGGTTTCAGATAACGTCGGCAGGCGGGTTTGAATTTCTTTAACCTGGTCTTGCTGGGTCTATATCATCATACGTAAGCTTTTGTCTATGTGTAAGTTGGATACAGACCTCTAGCGGCCCCGCGACACCCGAGAGTTCCAATGATATGGTGTGTAGACGTTGCGAGAAATCATTAGCTAGATCCGCAAATTCTTTCCGCAACGACTCTTTAATCCTGAGCTACTCATTGAACATCAATAACGAGCGATGGAAAACGTATGACTGACTGTCGTATCTGTGCATTGATTAACCGTGACCTTTTCGCTTCAGATTGAAGCAGGTCATTCCAAGCATCGTCGAGGTCCTAGAACTCGATGTATATAATCAGGCACAAAATTAATACACTGCATCTCGAATACCCACCGAAAGCGCGAGACCGAGAGGAGGAATGTATTCTCTCAACCCGTAAGTCCGAAGCTTCGTTTGTATGTTGCCAAGGAGTGTAGTGACATCCTGTCGCTCTATGACCCATGTACGTTTGGTTGTGTGTTTGTAAGTTGTAAAAGTAGCAGATTGTTCTTTCGCATCCGTATATGAGCCGGTGAAACGGCTAGTTGACCATGTTTTTTGGACCTCAGAAAGTGCATGTAGGAGCTATTGGAATCGAAGAAGGCGTGAGCTATGAGAAGTAAGCGATGTAATTAGACGCACAGCGCGAGCTCGACGCTCGTAGTCGTTTTTGCTCATCCAAACGGATTGCATCAGCTCAGCAAATTTTTCGACACGTCTGGAAACAGTTTCGGCTTGATCTAGCCAGGCAATTAGTTGTACATGATGTGACAGCAATTTTAATTTCTAACGTACCCATCGTTGAGAAGGCGTGGAAATAGCTTGCAATGTAGGTCATGACACTGCGTTCGTCTGGACGCATCGAATCACACAGGTCCTCTACCTCAAGGAGTTGCTGCATAGGCAAAGTGAGCACCTCCGTAAGTATTGCCTAATGTGAGCTTACTGGAACATCAAGATGGTCTGCAGCCACTTGGAATGCCAGGCGAGTGTTACCGTGTCGATCGGACTGAACAACGCAGTTAGGTATGATATTTACGGATGCATCTACTGCTACATGCCTTGTCAAGTTTGTCGTAATCCAGGAGCTCGGGGCGATGACAATGAATTAATGCACAGCTGAACGAGTAAGAGTAAGGCAGAGGCAGATTGCAGTCAGGGAGTGTACTAACAGTGCCAGCCCATCCGACCAACTTATGGAGAAGTCTTGTACATCAACTTCTTTGTAAGGCGCAGTTTTGCGTTGAGCCCAAAGCAGCAAGCCTTCCTTCGCCGAAAGGCCTTCCTCACTGAAATGGTCACATTCAATGAAGCATCTTCTTGTATGAGTTGCCTTACCTGATGTCTGCGATGGTAAAACGCAAAACCAAGGTCCAAATCATACCCAGGATCAGTTTCAAGTTGCCGTCGATAATGTCTAGAGTCCAACGGTTTGGTTGAGCTCCTTCAGACCGAACTGTGCAACGTGCCTTCAGGGCCAATATTTGTTAACTTGATACCGCGTTGTCGTATGAATTCCAGTGCTTTGTTGACATTCTCTGCCTTCTGGACGCGCATCCGGGGGTTCTTATTGTATCTTCCGAGGGATGTATCACCTGTACAACACGCGAGCTATCCACACCATATAGAATGAAAATGACATACAACCTTACCCATTATTTCCTATGCAAGACAAGCCATAAATCATGAATGCTCGAGCTAGAAGACAATTGTCCCTCTTACCATGAGCTGGATTAAGCGCACACCATCCGAAAGGTCTTGGACGAGCGAGTGCATGGGTGGATAACCATTTGCTTCAAGTTTGGTATTAAGCCTAGATAGCAACATGAGTTATTCCATCAACAGCAGTGCACTGTCAGGTAGCTCACCACTTGCAGAAGGTTCTTTCTTGAGTTGAATCCATTGCAGTTGACACTGGACAGCTAATTCACTGTGTATTGGTGAGTAGCACTTGAAATTTAAGAGATCGCGTTGCCAGCTGATTTGCTCAACGTGAAGGCGTACTCCTAGAGATGCTTAGTGGAGAACAACAGCCTGGGTAGACCAAAGTAGTAGTATGATGATACTATCGACTCGGGCGTTCGCTTATATATATGGAAACATACTTCAAGACGCGATCTCAATGATTTGTCATTGAACGCGTCGAGTCTCAACGTTGCATAATTCCATCCAAGTACTATCCTTCTTTTCTGGCACCTTCTGTTGTCCGCTATGGCGACGACGCAGTTCGATAAAATTTATTATGGCCTCTCATCTGAAGTTGGGAGTAAGGAGACTTCCCCTTGATCTCACATCCTGTATTGATGGTGCCTCCCAGAATTTCGTGTTGCAGCAAGTGGAATGGCCTGGAAGGGCGAAGAGAATGATACAGTAACTGCCATACCATCGGCAGAAGTCAAATGGGCGCAATGGTGTCGCGTTGCAAGGAACTTTCAGCTGCGAATAGGCTTGAAGGACAGACGGCGAGAAACTTTTGATGGCTTCTTGCGGGAGGTTGGTGCAGGATTTCAGCAATGAACTGCTATTAAGGAGTCTTGCAGGATCACGACAAGCTCGCAGGGCTACTCAAACAGCACTTTGGGGTGACCTTAGAAGTCAGAGATGTCACATTCAAAGGCTGGAATTGGGGTGTAACGGACATCCAAGGTGCGGCATGCTTTAAGTCTTTTTTATTTAATCTCAAACATCTATTCCAGGGCAAGATCTAGCATTTCTCGTGTCAAACAAGACAGCTTTTGAACTCCCTCTGAGCCAAGTAGCAAACTCCAACATCGCTGGTCGCACTGAAGTTTCGCTAGAATTTGCCCCATCAACACCGTCTGGAAAGAAGCCTTCTCGCAGCGCACCAGATGAGATGGTAGAGATTCGTTTCTATGTCCCTGGTACGCAAGCTCGCGCCCGAGGGTCGGACGCTGGCTCGCAGAAATCCGATGACGAGGAAGGAGAGGGAGAGGGAGAGGAAATGAGCGCAGCACAGGCATTCCATGACGCCATCAAAGACAAAGCAGACATTGGTCAAGTTTCTGGGGACTTGGTCCTGAGTTTCGAAGAAGTTCTCGTCTTGACCCCTCGTGGACGATACGACGTCGACATGTTCCTTGACTTCCTGCGTCTTCGTGGCAAGACGTACGACTACAAAATTTTATATTCCAGCATTGCTCGATTATTTCTCCTACCCAAAGATGATCAACACGTACTCTTCATTGTAAGTCATATGTACTTCATTTTGACCTTTGACTAAAATCATTACAGCTGGGATTGAGCACGCCCATTCGGCAAGGACAGACGAGATATTCTTATCTTGTTATGCAATTTGCCCGGGAAGAGGAGACTACAGCGGAGCTCAATATGTCGGAGTAAGCCAATCATCGATATTCACAACATGATCATGCCTCATATGCAAATCAGGGAAGACATCGAGAAGTACGACAGACTGAAAAAGAACTATGAAGACCCCACTTTTGAGGTTGTCTCGGGTGTTTTCCGTGCTCTATCCAAGAAAAAGATCATCAGCCTAGGGTCATTCAAAAGGTGAGCAAGTCATCTTGCGCTTAGAGTATGGCTGACTCCTGTCTTAGTCGCGATGGTCACCCAGGCATCAAAGCGAATCTCAAGGCCGTGCAAGGCGACTTGTTCATGCTGGAGAAATACATCTTCTTCGTTTCCAAACAGCCAACTCTCATCGAAATATCTGACATTCATCAATGTGTCTTCTCTCGAGTTGGTGCAAGCATGGGTGCCACTGCAGCCCGCACATTCGATCTGAAGATTGTGACCAAGAGCGGCCCAGAGTACACATTCACGTCGATCAACAAAGAGGAACACGAGCCGGTCGAGGCTTACCTCAAGGAAAAGAAAGTGAAGTTGAAGAATGAGATGGTGCCCGATGTCGACATGCTGGCTGCTGTAGGTGACTCCTCTGATGAAGAAATGCAGAGTGTTGCGAGTAGTGGGGACGAAATGCCCAAGCCAAGGTTGGGTGGTGATGATGAGGATAGCGAAGAAGGTGCGGATTTCTCTCTATGTCATGTGATAGCTCTCATTCTTGTGTTGTAGATGAAGACTTCCAGGCCTCGTCCACAGACGAAGGTTCACCGAGTGAAAGCGACTCAGATTCTGACGGCGGTGTTACTGCCTCTGATGCTAGCGGAGATCGCGAGCTGGCGAATGCCGCGAAAGGAAAGAAGAAATTGACCAAGAAGAAGGCGAAGGGCAAGGCAGCTGGCAGTGATGCAGGGGATGACGAAGACAAACCAACAAAGAAGAAAGCGAAGGCCAAAACGGCCGGTAGCGATGCTGGCGGTGATGAAAATAAACCCAAGAAGAAGGTCAAGGCCAAGGCAGCTGGTAGTGACGCAGGCGATGAAGATAAACCCAAGAAAACAGCGTCCAAACCTAAGCCCAAGCCTAAAGCCAAGAAACAGGACGATGATGCCATGGATGTTGACCAGGACGAGGAGCCGAAACCCAAGCCGAAACCAAAACCGAAACCGAAACCCAAAGCTTCTGGTCCTAAGGAAGGTGAGGAGGATGAACCCGCCAAGAAGAAACCCAAGGTATCTTCGGATTGAAACACTCGTGTACTTTTACTTGCTCCTTATTACTCTTCTCCTTGCTAATCATCATGACTTCAAAATTTGTTTTGAATACGACTACAGAAGTATGTAGTTACAGCTTGCAATATACAATATGCAATGACACAGATAATAGAATAGATGCGTGGGTATATTCAGTACACATAAAAGCACATCATGACATGACATCTCCTCTGTGTTTGGCCAGGAGAGAGCCAGGCTCGAATGTGACGGCGGTAGCTGATGCGCTGAATGGAGCTGAGACACTAACGAGAGGTTGACTAGGGCGCGTAGAGATGGACTGTTTTCTGGTTTGAGACCGAGATAGGTTGTTAGAGATCGAGGTAGATTCCCCTGGTTTTGCGAATAGGACATGTCGTTCCTGGAAAAGAACATAGGACTAGAACTGCAGTGAACAACAGGTTTGAGGAATCGGGTACGAAGGCTTACTCGCGCTACAAGAATGGCTTCCATCCATCTCTCGCCGTCCTTTTGGTTGCATGACAAAATATGAACATAGTCCGACACATTCTCAAATAGTGAGATGTTGTCAGTAGATTTGATGGCAAAAACAAACGGTTTAGGAGACTTGCGTTTTCTGGTGATATAGTACGCGTCGAAATTGGAGAGTGAGCACAGGAAAGTTTCATCCTTTCCCTGCAACAAACTTTGAGTCGGGTTTGAGAGACCAAAGAGGATAGCGTACCGTGTCGCGCTTGGCCAACCACAAGCTGTGCTCTCGCAACTCCATCCAACGTTTGCTCCACTTGCCCTTCTTGCTCTCATATTCGATATATCCGCGGTTGGTGGGTGAGCTTGTGGGTATGTTCTATGCTACCAGTTCAATGGGTTTCGGGTGATAACAAACGAGAAACTTACGGAGCGGCTCAGGAAGGGAGCCAGGTAGGTGCGTTTGACCACAAAGGCATTCAAAAGTTTGTCTTTGTTCCAAGAAGCAGTGACATTTGATAGTAGCTCGTAACTTCGGATGGGGCGTTCTGCGATTGCGTGAGTCGTTTGATGTTCACAGAAGATGTAAGATCTGCCTACCCATGCCAAAGTCATTCGCAAGCTCGAACAGCATCCAGACTGCCGTATCATCCAACGATCCTTGATTTGCAATCAAAGCAACGACATCACCAGCATTGGTGTTGGGGGTGATCTCCACCGTGTTGAATCTTTGCATATCTCCGATAAAGACTCGTTGCTGGGTGACCTGTACTTTTGGCACAGGGATAGGCTGAGACCGTGAATGTATTGGCTCGACGAGAGGGCGTTGAAGAACACGCTGCTCGACATCCTGATCTACGGAAACGCGAGGGACTGTTGGTGTCGGTCTTCTAATATCCTCGCTTGGACGGGCAGACCTCAATAGCGGGTCTGACGCATTGCGAATCTCAAAACCATCTCTGGATGGACGGGTGACGGACTTGCCCCGGTGCACAGGCGGGTCTTCTGGTCTGCGCGAGGTAGCCGTCGGTCTACGTCCGAGGCGTTGCGATAAGGATGACTCTAGGTGTGGCTGAGCTGTATCCACCGTTCGCCCCTCTGGACGATGGAAAGATCGTGTAGATCTCAATTGCCGATCTTGTGGAAGTTTGTCGGTGGTATAAGCTGGAACATGTTGGAGGAACGCTATTTCGTCCACAGCCTGCGGACCGTGAATCCGTGGACCAGAACCAGAAATAGGTATCCTTGTGGATAGTGATGCAGAAGCAATACCATTATAGGAAGGCGGCGCGGTCGACGGAGCTGTTGCCACTTGAAGGTTTGCTAATTTCATCGCCAAATCATCGATGGGGAAAGGCTCAAGGGGAGCTGGTTTGCCGCGAATCCTCTCGCCTCTTGATGGAGCAAGCGAGGGCGTGACGGATGCAGAACGTTGTCGACCATGTATGACAGTAGGAGGAAGGGCAGGAACAGGAGGTCGTTCGGACGGCATTACTGCGCGAGTGCCCTTCGCACGCTGCATCTTCCGTTGGTGGCGCTCATCACGCAATTGCCTTCGAATAGACTTTTGGGCGGTGAGTGCCGTGGGCATGCTTTGAGCGAGTGGTACATCGTCATCAGAACATGAAACCATCCTTGAGTGGATGGAACGTGTGCGGGATGGCGGCCGAGAGGAGTGCCCATCCACGCTATAGTAAACGGTACCGTTGTCTCCCTCATCTGAAGAAGAACTGTAATCCGAGTCACTCCATACTGGTGAACGTGTGCTTGGTCTACGCCCTCCGTCCCCATCATCCCCACCACCCTCGTAACCGTACCCTCCAGAACCATGGTTTCCGGAATGACCCCCCTCCTCTCTTCCTCCGTATTTACGGCCCCGTCTGTCCTCATCACGGTCTCGCCCTGGAGGCGGGCCTCGTTGTTCAGGTGTGCTATCACCGTCATGTGGAGCATCTTCAAGTCTTGGTAAGGGATGTGACTTCTTCTTGTTCTGGGGCAGGTCGTGCAGGATGCCAGGCATAGCGTGAAAAGACCGTGTGTCCGAAGATGTTTCAGGAGAGTAAAAAGAGGTGTATGGTGTGGGTGTAACTTCTGGGTAAGGGGTTGTAGATGTGACCTTCGAAGGTAAGTCCCACTCTGACTCCGAATGATCAGAGTGCACTTGTGTGTAGTAGTCAAAATCAGAGTGATAACTGAGAGGATGATCTTCATCTATGCCATCGACCTCGTGGGCGAAAGACATTTCCGAACCCTGAGCGTGGCTAACACGAATACTATTTTGGTCAGTCGCAGATGTGGACCACGGTAAAGATGATGTGGATGAGGAACGTGAGAGTGAAGATGAAGAAGCCTGAGGCTCTGACCCCGTAAATGAAAGCGACGGAAGGGAATCAATATCGGCATCATCAAGATGAACTGAGGCTGGTCTTCCATTGGTGGAATGAAAGCTACTCTCGGAGTCACCCGGATCTGTAACAATTTTCTCTGATGTTGATGAACACGCCGGTGAGGCGATACCTTCTAAACTGAGAGTGAAGTCCTGTCTGGTATCCAAAGGCTCTGGCGTTTGCGGGACAGTAGCTGCACGCTGCCGCTTGGAGGGCTCCGTGAGTGGTTCCGCAGAAGAAGCAGATGCGGCACCCAGATGGGGAGTGGGTTCCATATTCCATGGTTCATGTGGTAATCGAGCGCCAGGGGTTCCCTTACGAGGCTGATGGTAATCATTAATGCGAGCGTCATCAACACTACAAAACACGTACTTTGCGTGGGATACCAATATTCATTTGAGCTAGTGTCTTCAAAGAGGGTAATGACGGTCGGGAAGCGAATGCCGGTTTAGTGTGAGCGGGACGGACTTGACCGTGACTGGATGACTTCGGACGTTTAGGATTATGATGTTGACGGTATGCTTGCGATGGAAGTAGTACAGTAGATGATCTCGGAGGATGCAATGCAACAGAAGGGTTGGGATATGCACTCGGACATTCTGAAGATGCAATCGCGGAAGAGGACGAGTGCAAGTTGGCAAAGGGGTCCTCATCCAGTAAGGGAGACGACGTAGCAGGGATAGGGATGTTTGAATCCTCCCCGGAAGCGGTATTATGGGTGGGCGTGGCTGCTGAGAGGGAGCGAGCTCGAGACGCGCTACTTGAGGGAGAAGTGGACGTTTGGAAAAATGGTGGAGTAAGTAGCGACTGTAGTGAAGGTCGTTTCGCAGGAAACTTGACGTGAAGCAAGCTGATCTTGTTCGATGGCGAAGATATTTTGGGCTCAGACGAGAGCAGGTCCAAAGAGTCTTCTGTCATCGAGGCAGACAAATCCAGAGAGAAGGGAAAGGGTTCGTTGATCTGAGGGAACAAATGCAGATGAGCACTTTCCTATGCCCATGCCACGGAGGAACTATAGTATGATAAAGACGCGAAACTGTCACCTTCCATGACAGCGCTGGTTGCTAGCAGAAGCACGTGATCAGGTCGCACTAGCGGGGCAATCATATTATAGTTCAGCACATGCATCATGGAGCTGCGCCGCATGTGATAAATGCCCTCAAAGACCGCCCATAGCCGCAGCACTAAAGCAATAATAGGAAATTCTTGGTGCAAAAGAACTGCACATACCTGAAACGGAGACTCATCTGGCGCAGAGCATGGCGTATCATTTGCCCTGTTACCACATTGACACTTTATCGCCCAGCTACTAGTAAAACAAGTTTCAGCAGCTGTGGGCGCTAAGTGCGGCAGGTCGTCCCTAACCGCAGCAATATGCGTCTCGTTTTGGTAGCCTGTGAAAGTGTTCTGGAAAATGGTGACGGTGGGAAAGGTGGATAAGAGCATGCTTTGTCCTCGGATCACAAATAAATGAGCTAGGCTGCCTAAGCGTGATCTGAGGTGTTTAGTGCCTTTGCCGCTTGGAGATATTACAAGAAGATACGAGTTGTACAACAGAACAATAGTAGTAAGAGAAGGTAGGAGAGTTGGAGTGAGTCGACAACAAGCCCCGACAATAGCTAGTCTTTGAACCAAAGTCAGTATTATGTAAGGCGCTCCCTGATCATTGACGCAGCTTAACTTTTAGCGTTTTTTTTTGACGCCTGCTTCGGACTTCAACGGTTCTACATATGCCTCAAGAGCTACCTGGATTATACTGGGATGAAGAAAAACAACGTTACTTTCCCCTAGCTTCGTCACGGAGGCCTCAGGCTGTAGGCCCCAGTACCTTACATCCACCAACCACTGGCAAGCCGCAATCTTTGGCAGCACCTCAGGCTACAGGGGAATCCCACAACTTAAAAAGGCATCGAAATCGTTCTCTCTTGCGAGCAAGGGAAGATGCCAGGTTCAGCTTCCGCACTGCTCATAAAAACAAGTTGATGCAGTACGTCCCTCTTTCTGGTATAGGTCTCGGGCTCATCAATACCTAAAATGACTACTGCTCGCGAATTCCATCATTGTGGCGCACAGCCAGATATCATGCTTCCAAGTAGCGCAGACGTCCCATGTTGCATCATCGTCCATTCTATCACTTACACGCTGCGCTATCACCGCCTTCCAGGTACGACCATCATCATCAACCTTGTTTGCAGTCATATTCATAATGGCTGGATTCGTGGTAAGGCCGTATCCTACAATAACAATGTCCACAGTTTCGCAGGGGATACTGGAGGATGGTTTTACTCGTCAGTCATTGGTAGAGACGAGCCAGTCACGGGGTATCACACCTCGCATGGCTGGCGCCCAGAGTTCAGTCTCTCCTCAGAGGCAAGTACCTAGCTGTTCAACACGAAAAACACATCACACACCTGATCTGTCAGATCTCTTCCATATGTATATCTGGTTCCCGCTGCATGTCAGTATGACCTTACCTACGATTCGTTCATCTACTTATCTGTGTGATCTAGTGCAACCTCGTTTGGTCCAGAGAGCAAAATATTGCACTTCCCCCTTGATTTGGACTCAGAAGAGTAACAAATTTCGCCATTACTTCCTTCACGGTATCTTATTTCGTTCGCGTGGTACAGCATCCGTGTGGCTCGTGTAAATAACCGGTCTGTTCGTGACATATGGACAGCTGATTTTCAAGGTTCCCGTTTGGTGCTGGGTATGTTCAACGTATGCATATTGTCTTCCGATGCTCACAGAATATCAGGCACAAATGATCAAGCTGTAGTCATCGACGACGCTGCTGATCGAGCGACTGTTCGTTTTATGAAAACGGGTAGTGACGTATTTGCTGTTGCCCAAGACGATGTACGTTTCAGGGTTTCACAGTACCCGCGTTACTCTAATGGTTTCCACAGAATATTATTTATACAGGGTCTCGTGCTGGCATTGTCCAACGTTTTGATAGCCGTATAGCTAGCACCAAGGGTGATCGCATTTTAAGTGACCCACGTACGACCCAGCATAATTCAGTGACCAATCTCAAGATTTTTTACGATTGGCAACTTCTCACAAGTAACATAGACGGAAGCGTGAGTTCACGAAACATAGGACCTGTAATAAATTTGCTGAATCTGACATCAGCTGGCTATGTTTGACCTCCGCTTCCCTGGTAACCGAACACCTGTAATCTCGTTTACAGGCAATATCAATACCTACACCACAAAGACTGTAAGACCACGCGTTAGTCGCAATCCTCCGCGTTTATAACATTACACAGCCTATTGCCGTCGATCCTCATGAACAATTCCTCTTTGCAGCCGGTCAAGACCGCCGCATTCGCCTATGGTCGCTCCGCACAGGAGGTGCACCGCTTGTTTCGCCTGCTAGTGTGTTTCAGAAACCATTCGAAGATCCGATCCGTGCACTCCAAGTTGTTGAGGAACAAGAAGGCGTTTTGGGCTTGTGGGCCACATCGGGTGCAGCACTCTACAAATATAACCTAGGTCAAAGGATGGAAGAAGAGTCTGAGGCGATGCAGTGCTGATTACAGACGCCAGTCCATTTTTTGCTACAATCGTGCACTGTCTTTACGCGTGGTGTTCCGAAGAAGGGCCAGGTAAGAAAGCTCATTGTGAACGGACTAGTTGATTACTAAGATACCGCAGTTTGTTACAGTACAGAGGAAAGGCGAATGTACCTAGTGGATCACTTCTGGCTGAGTACGAGGACTTCCTACGGAACCTGCCCGAGGAACTCGAACAAATGGTCTCCTACAAACCCGCTCGGAAGAACCATTCATGCTGCAAAGACATAAAAAATTACAGAGATGGCTAAATGGTCACCGAGCGTACCTTGGGTGCAGCCTCAATGACCGGGAGATGGCGAGTCTTGTGCATCTTGCGTCTGCATGTTGTGCAATAGGGATGAGCTTGTGGAAAAAAATACGGGGGTCGTAATTGATGGATACAACTGCATGGTAGAAAAGGTGGAATCCAGAGACAGTGCAGTATCGGTACTCGAAGGATTGTGTGTCAAGGACGGCATGGCGATAGATGAAAACTCGGGCATTTTGGCAGCGTCGCCGATGGTGTCGGAAGATGCGGGAAGGAAGAACTTTGAAAAATCTGGGTATCGGTTGTGAAGCGGGTCCCTGGAGTATCGCCACGCTCTCGTATTCTGCTGTAATACCTTTTCCTTTCCCAAGGACGAGTAGGATGACCTTGAACTGGATCCGATTGCCAAGGCAGGTGTCGCGTCTGAGGTGTAGCCGACAGAACGGGGTTCGACCGAGTGTGGGAGACTGTATCCGGATGCTAGCCTCCACGTCGACTTAGCGCTGTCCGCTCTGCCGACCGAAGCGAGAAGTGATTCTGATGTTGGAGGAAGAATCGACATTTTCTGGGTCACGACAGGATGCGAAAGAGAGGGACCTTCCCTTGGCGCGTCAGAGCAGGTCGAGGTGTCGGGTTGAGGCGGATCCAGCTTGATTATATGCACTAGCGGTCCCTCAGGGCGCGTCTGAACCGGAGGACGAGGCACCCTGTTTTTTCTCATAAACCAGTTCCTGATCCACGCTTCATCCCTGTAATACTTATATGTTCTCCGGAAGGGTAAGTGGTATTGAAGTTGAACCTACAGGCCAGTCTCCATAGCCAGTTGATGTCTTTGAGAAGTTGACGGCCGAGCCTCCTCTGCGTGCATTTTCTTTAGGATGTCTAGTTGCCATTGTTTTGCGCGGACGATCGGTTTTTTACTCATGGCGTCGAGGCTGTACGGTTCGAACAAGAGAATGTAGACCAAGAACTTGAATGACAGTGAGAGTACTAAGAGACCAGACGCGAGCCACGTGACAAAGTGAATTACATATTATTCCCACGGCTATTGTGGGATTAATTCCGCTTGGTACCTACTCGGATTGCGAGCAATCAGGTTGAGAAGATAATTGTATTCTGTCAGGTAATCCTCCAGGACAAGCTTGTCCTTCTTCCACTCTTTTGTCCTTCATGCCACAGGCCATTTCGTCTAGTCGTCGGTCAAGCTTGGACTCTCTAGCAGGCTCAGCATCAGCATCGCCAAGGTCGTCGGCCTCGCCATATTCACCAACTGAGAGTATATCCGTCCTTGATTCAACTTCAGCGCTTGTGCTCCTTCCCAGTCAAGATGAAGAGGATTCTTTTGAGTTCAGCAGCGATGAAGAACATGAAGAACATGACCCTCAGCTGGAGATTGCGAAGCTCGCCATACCTCCTCTTCCGGCTGCCACAGTCTTTTTGTACCTTCTAGCGCCATACTTCAGGCTTGGTGCCATGCTCGTGCCAAACGGTATTACCTCGCTGAAGTTCGGTCTTGTAAATCTCTTTGTTGCTGCAGCGTTATCAGTTTTCTCTCGCAACCTATGGTTCCTTCTGGCAAGGTACCTACGGAAGACTACCGCGGAGGATATTTTTATTGAGGTGATAGCGAAAGGTATTAGTACGGCCAAGCGCAGACGACGTGAAAAGATTCGACGACTACTTTTTTGCGTCACTGGGTCGTTGAGAATCTTGATGACATCTATGTATTTACGCGGTCAGTCGTACCATAGCTACTTTGCCGTCTTCACTGTCTGACTTTAGCATCAAATAAAAGCATCTGTGGACTCCGTTTATCCACTTCTACTTGAGGCTCTTCCTGTGCAAACTCGACTTGTCGCCACTTTAGCATTGGGCCTGCTCATATTTGTTGTATCTTTCCCCAAATCTCTAGCGGCGAAGCAAGTGATCTGTACCACATGGCTATCAGTGTTCTTGTATACCGCATGGTTAGTCGCTGCGCTGTATAGCCACATGACTGGCACCACGATGCCAAGCCCCATTCTGGCGCAACATGGCGTGCTCTGGAATGGCACCAGTAAGTATATGGTAATACTTCTTTGTTCGCCGTCAATTATTAACTATATGCCGTAGCGTCTATCGCGTTTTCGTTCGTAACTTCGCTAACAGTTCCCCTATCCGCTTCTTTGGTCGGGCGACCTTCTCCTCCATCAAACAAGACGGGCGGATGGACATATTTCCAGATGCTGAGCATCTTATCGACAGTCATAGCGACCCTCCTTATATTGCCATCAATTTTGACAGCCTCCTCGCCCAATATCCCAGTATGATTTTTCGTTTTTTTAATTTACTGCTGCTAACGTCAAGATAAGGGAGCACTTAGCAGCGATACACGTAATACTGCAGTTCACCTTCTTGGGGCATCTTCTCTCTTATTGTCCATCCCTTCCGTGCTGGTCTCTATACCTCCTCTACCAATTCCGCTAGCCATCCGGAGATTTTGTAAATTGGACCTCGGCAAGGCCATTATCATATCCGTTGTTGTATTGCTCAGCTTAGCCCCTCCATCAATGGCGGCATTCCTTAATGATCTCACTATATTTTTGGCTCTTTGTGGAAGCTATTTCCTTCCAGGTACGCGTGTTCAGCGGGCTCTCTCTCGGCGCGGTTATTCTTACATCTCTTCCTTTATAGCATGGGCGCACATTACGATCCATTATTTCAGGCGGCCTATATCCATTGTGATCCCTCATTCGGTCCCGAGCACACCACAAACTATGCATCCACCATCTCCGCTACACAGTGCAGACGCCCTTCTGCAGCGCAAAGAGAGGCTGTTGCAGCGAAGGCGGCTCGGAAGACGAGTGTTATGGGATGTTGGCGTTTGGTTGTTATTGATGCCCATCAGTGTATTTGGGATGGTTTGGGCGGGTGGCCGACTAATTGGAAAATGGTAGGTTCCGCAGCAGTGTACGATCCCGCAGAATAGCCTTCGCGTGTTTCCAGAATCGAGCGTTACCCCAAATATTTACGGATGTCAAACTACTGGACATTCCGTGTTCCCCGCACCTGACCGGACAACTATGTAGTGCTTATTTAGAATAGATCATATGCTGCGTGGACTTGTGTTCATTCGATGGTTCAGTTTGTATTTAGAATTGAATTACAGCCGCACAATCAGACCAATATCTATCATTACACATGTCCCTATTATCATTGGGGCAATGGAGATCAGACATGGTGGGCGACCTTTGCCGAAGCCGAAGCAAACACGTTTTTGTCAAAGATCATGTGTTGTCAATGTTTCATCCGAGCACCCTCGATCCCCATAGGGAGCTTTTCTCTCTGTCCTGGGTTCCGAAGATAGCGATCAATGGCTTGGGTGTTACTAGCGTCAAGTAAAATCAGCAAGGACCTACGCCAGTCCAGATGGACTTACGGTTTATTTATAATGCTCTCGCCGCCTTCGAAAATTAATGCATCATAAACGAATGCACCACATAACATCCCAGTGACTGGACCAAGCACAATGCACCATAACCAATATTGATTGCGGTAGGTGAACACTGATGATAGGTTCAAGCCATCGTCCAATCTACATCAGCGATATCTCCGACTTACCTGCAGTTCCGTAGCCCGCGGCCGCCGTGAAGAATCTTGGCCCCAAATCTCGAGCAGGATTCAGGGAATAGCTCGTGTTCATGCCGAGAGAAGTCCCAATGCCGAGTATCACAATGAACAGGGCAAGAGGGACGAGACCCTGTGGGGGCGGTCCATTTCTCTTGTCAGTGATGCAGAGTACAGCAATGATTAATATTGCAGAGCCCAAAAACTATCTCATAAATAAATCAGTATTCCTACGGAAAAATGGAAAGGGCCATTCTAACCTCGGAAAAGAAGCATGAGACAGGGGTCAGGAAGCTTGCCTGAGGAATTATCAGCAAAGGGTGGTGTGAATAACCACCTAGTTCGCACGGCATATGTAGCAAGAAGATCTCCCGAACCACTGATAGTTCGGATGCCAGGCCCGCCTTCTACTATGTCTATAGCATGGAAGTTGTTGGCATAGACAACACCAGCACCACAAAATGCGCCCAGTAGCTGAGCGAAGATGTAGTATGGCACCTTTTTCCAAGGAAACCCCCGGAAAACTGCCAGAGTAAACGTGATCTGCGGGATTACTGCTCAGAAAATGATACGCTAAGAGCAAAAGTCTAACTTACCGCAGGGTTTAAGTGCCCCCCAGATATACCTCCTGCGATCCACATCCCAAGTGCCACGCCTAAAGGTATTGTCAAAGACATATTTTGTGAGTGTGAGGAGCGAGATCAACATATCAACCCACCTGCAGCCCAGCCGAAGTTGAGCGAAAGGAAATCCTATATAGAACTTCGACTTGAATGGTAGATGTCGAATATTTGTATCATCCACTTACCCCTCTTGGGACCGCTTCAACATTCGGGTTTATGGATAGAAACACTTGACAGTTGACACCGGTACCGAAGATCACGAAGATCATTGTACCTAGAAACTCGGCCGCTGGTTCACGGATAGCATACCTGGAAAGTGTAATGAGAAAGCTCGTACATAGATAACGGAGAAATATTCTTCACCTGAACCTCGACCACCTGTTAGGAAATACCGTGCTAACCGAGGAAGCGTATCTTTGCTCGTCATAAGAGCCAACGTTCTCTATGTGTACTTCTTCTGGCTTCTCAATGATTGCCGACATGATTCGCAAGGGATACGGTTCGGGGAGCTAGCAGGGAGAGGAGAGGCGCCTGAGGAATCATATTTATACGTCGAAATGGTTTAGTCACGTATGTAGCCTCAGTGGTGGGTTGAACTCCAATGAGACAGCAAAGAGCACAAGAACACAAGATTGCAAACATCACATGGTTTGCGGATGGATCAAGCTGGTCTCCCGCAGCTATGCCTACATGGTTTTTCCTAAGGTGGAAGCACAGTGGAGCCGGCTGACTTAAGCAATAGGTCTTGATGATGGCGATGATGATCCAGGGAGGCAGCCACATGTGAGGTTCTCGTGATTTCGGCTCAGAGAAGAGATCCGAGTCATAAAGGCCTGGTTCTCGACGTAAGCATGCCCGTGATGAGAAATTCTACTAACAGATAGTCGGACTCATTGTAATTGATGTACCACACGGGGACTGGGTCGTATACAGGATCACCACCCAAAATACGGTTTAGGTTGCTGAAAGTTGTTCGTTCAGAAATGGAACCATGATATATATTATCGAGGTCATGGGCCATATCTCTGTACCTTAAGATAATGGGCAGGAGCTACAGTCCTTCTAGAAAGCAGTAGGTCCAGTGATCAGACGAACAAGTCGAGCTCTGCTAGACTGCTACGTCAAATATCTAATCCATCGAACTCCTTAACTGGTTACGAGTATAAACCACTTATTTACGGAGTGCTTGCCTTCTTTAGAGGACAGCCGACTTAGCAGCACACCGAATACTGCCGCAGCACAATCCTAGATAAGTTCTTTGATGGTAGCGTGACTCGTGTTTTCTTCAGGACGCGTTCGAAATAAAGAGTTGCAAATGGAGGGTTCCGAGTCCGCGTCGGCAGTAGTGTTGTGGGCAGAGGTAGTTTTGCCAGCGTGATAAATATGATAGCAACTATTTCAAGCTTACATAAGTCCCACCTTGTTCGCATCACATGATGTTACGACCATCGACGAAGAAGACGAACTTCATGTGGCCCTTTCGTCACTCACCGGCGCGGTCTACATCAGTTCTTGAAGTCGTGGTTCTAGAAGTATATGCGAAGAAAGGCCAGGTGAAAATGACCAGCGCTACCACAAAACAAACCTTTCTACATCATGCAACATTGTTAGAAACGCCGTGCTGGACGCTTGTGCCGAGGGTAAACCACCTTTTAGTACGTCGCGAACTTCTTGTACTGAGGAACGACAGCGACAAAAACCCCTTGATCACGAACAGCATAACTTTCCGGCGCTTTCCAATGCCAACGACGATTCATCAAAGGCACCACCTAAACCTCAATCAACTTGATCTACAACTCAGGTTGTTCATTGCCCATCTCTTTGCCTGTCCAGAATACCTGCCATCTACGCTCATCTAACTCCCAAGTCCAGTTTCATTAGTGCATGCGCCCTCCACAGCACCAAATACCATCCGTCCATGACTTTTGCTGCCTTCTCCCTTCTCCAACGATGAAGGTGCGCTTTTGGCGCCCATGTCCTCGTATGACCGTCACCATCGTCTTTTTCCGCCCAAGCCTGCCTTCCCTCTGCTAAACCTATCTCGTTATCACCGAGTTATTTAACATGATGTCTCCGGCATCGATTGCATCTCCCCCAGGTATGGAGGACTGTACTGCTCGAATCTTATCGGTATCATTATCGCCCGGCATTCCAAAATACGAGCCTGCGCCGGTATCACCGGTATCAAACATCATCTTCGCACTCGGACTCGCGAATGGCAACAGTAACTTAGACATATTGTTCGCTTCGGGAACCTCCGTTGAAGTTTGACGAGCTTTGGAACACAGAGATATGTGTCCCTCATTTTGGCTTGGAAACAATTCGTTCCTTGTCCTGTGTGGCCTTCTCTAGTTCGTATGATCAACTTTTCTTGTAGGTCTTCCGTTTTACGGTTTATTACACTTGGCAGCTGTGTGCAAAAATCTTGACAGTAGCGCATGACACATGTGTACATTAGGATGTACAACTGCATGACGATGTGTTGAATCAACCTGCACCAGAGAAGGCACTCGTGTGAAGAGTTTAGGGCAAGCGGGGTCCTCCAGCTCAATGCTCGGAGGACCCGCAATCAATTTTTAGTACTAGGAGTGACAGCTCGTTGGAAAACGGAAGGTACGTATAGTAACTAGGACGAAATAGTAATGTACAAGCCACCAAACAATCGGTGACTGAGCTCCCCACCGAATGACTGGTGACTGAAGGCCAAAACGACTGGTGACTGAAAGCGAGTCAAATTTGACTCGAAAAGAGTCGAGTTTTGGACCAAACGGCTAAAGGGCTATTTTTCTTTTTTTTTTTTTTTAATAATAGTGCCAACGCACTGATCACAACCCGATAGTGCCGCAAAACGACCACACTGAGAGACTTGATATCCGAAACCGAAAGATAGAGCTGCAAAACGAGAATAAGAAGCCGCAAAACGAGAATAAGAAGCCCCGAAACGAGAATAAGAAGCCGCAAAACGAGGAAATGAAACAGACATTTGAAGTTGGACAAATAGCAACTATGAGCTGTCAAACCTAGTGAGTTACGGATTTTGAGAACCGTGTATAAGCAGATGAAGCAGATAAGGGTGCTTTCGAATGTATTTCTGGAACTCGTCCGAAGACCAGCGTCCCGCTGCCTGAATCAGCGCAGGCGCGACACCAGTCGCAGCCAGGGCAGTTGCTCCCCCGGCTCGCATCGAATGTCCAGCAATAGTTGGCGGGAAGAAACGCCGAAGATATCGCATGAACCATGCGCGTGTAGGAATGGTGCCGTTCGCAGTCAACCAGAGGTGGGGATGGTGTTGAAAGCGAGTGTCACGAGCATGGACATACCGTTGTAAAACATCTAGAGGGTTCACTCTAGACTCCGCCTCAGCTAACACTAAAATCTCGCATCCTACTCCCAAAGTATTTGTTTTGTGGTGAGGTAGAGTGTACCTTGCTGAGGTTGGCGACGATACGAGAGAGTGTCGCAGCGCCATTTTACGAAAGGATTGATGTTTCTTTGCATTCGGCCAGCAGAGCTCTGCTAACCGCTGCAAGGTTTTGAAACCTGTCACCAGCAAGGCAACGAATAAGATGTCGTTGAAGTCCGTCGACGAAGCGAACGTGTCCACCACAACAGCAAGATCATCCAGAGTCAGTGGTTCTTTACGTCGAACAGGCTTAGATAAGCGACGTTTACAACCTTTAAGAGTGCGAGTAACGAGCAAGGACGTGCGCACGTCACGAACTTGCGGAAAGTGTGTTTGAAGTCGATTCACGATACCCGAAAGATACGAGTCCACGGATCGTGGCTCAATATGATGTGATAACCACACCACGAAGAAGGACAGAGTGTCCGCGGTAGGTTCAACGTCCCTGTTATGAAGTCGACAAAAGTTCAGATATGAGTTTAGGTGTGAGTCGTAAGCTGAAGCTGTAGTGGTCTCGATAGCGCAACCAAGGGCCAAGGAACGCTC